TCTATGAGGTGGATTGATTCAGTGACTGGGGTACTCGGGATGGGTGTGTCAGAGGCAATGAAATTGGCATAGGATAGAGCACGGTTTAGGGCTGTTGTACATAGGGTCACTAGGAGTCGCAAACAACTCAACGGCACATAACAACAACATTGTAATTCATAATTCATCACAACCTTCATATTCATTCATAGCATTAAACAGTTAATTGTAATTTATCTACATTGCAATTAATAAATTCATATTAATTCATTGATTCATAGCAGGCATCAATAAATTTCAGTTTATCAGCATTGTAATTAATAAATTAATAAAACATTTATATAAAACTTTTTCAGTACACTCAATTGATATATATTTTCACAGCAAATTCGTAACATATTTCTTATTCACAAACTTAAACCAATTTGTTTTTACATCAAACTTATGTTTTCTTATTAAACCATTCATAACATATAAACTTATATAATTCGTTTCACAGCAAACTTATGATAATTTCTTGTACTTAAACTGTTCATAACAAAAGCATAAGATAAATATAAGATGTGAAAAATTATTTAATATCAATTAAAATGTTTCAATGTATGCATATAACCATATGGCCATGGTCACTTATCTATGCCATGAAATATGTATCTTTTCCAGTTAGTTGCCTAGAAACACAGCTACCTTCTTACTGACTAGATGTGTGTGTGTCCATTATAAAGAAAGATTATGTAATATAGTGCAGAAATAGGTGAACATTTTCCATTACTATCACATGCATATAAAGTTACTGATAAAATTGAACAATAATTGAAGCAGCATATCAACAGAGAACAGCTAGTAATTCAGAGGAGGCTATAGAATGAAAGAGAGCATTGCTGACATCATCATGTTGATTTAGCTGAAAGACAGTAGCAAAAAAAATGTCTACTTGTGACTTAGTTACTCTGCAAAGACAAATAACTGTGTGGATCATAATAAATTATGGTTGACTGGAAAAAAACCCAAACAACACACTTCTACATTTTTTATCAATATATTTATGAGAAGGAAGCAAAGCAGATACAGTATCATAAATAGAACCTCCATTCATTCTGCCTTTTCAATAATTTTTAATTTTATTCTATTGCTAAGATAAGTAAAAACTACTTGCAGGCACCATAACAAAGATAAATCAACCAAACGTCTGATACAAGAGATGAATATATGAGGAAGCAAGGAGTAACAAGCCTTATAAAAAATGGCAACAAATACAGCATTGTTTGTCTTATTTGTGTTCATTGCTTTTGTTCCAACATTCTTCTAGGTCATATAGCCCTGACGTGTCCACTTGCTGTACAGAGGTAATTTGTGGTTGCTTTGAAGCTGAACACTACGACACTGATGTGTCAAATGTGTTAATGGTTACCCATGGTAGACAATGTTTGGTGGAGCTCCCCAATTAAAACAAGCTTGAAAGAAGGAGTGGCATCCATTCTGTAAATAGCTTGCCTTGGGAAACCCTATGAACCTGAAGAAAGGATGAAAGTCACACAAGTGTCGAGGACTTTAGTTCACAGGGTCGCTATGCCTCGCCTCCAACTCGACAGCACTTAACAACAACAACAATATTTACTATTTGTTTTATTTATGTTGTATTGACTATGCAAAGACATATGATTTTGTGCATCACAACAAATTTTGGCTAACATCAAGAAGATTGAGAGTCCCAGAACAGTGGATTGTCCTCATGCAAAGCCTATACCTAGACCAGGAAGTTGTCGTATGAACAGAGCAAAAAACACTGCATGGTTCAAAATCAAGAAAAGAATGGATCAGGGATGTATCTTTTTTTCCAGAAACTCTATGAATGTGGAGAAATGATAAAAGTTATACAAGTGTACAGGTCTTTCATTCATAGGGTTGCTGTCTAGGACTCAATGGCACTTACCAATAACAATGAAAATATTCAATCTATATGTGAAACGAATTGGGAGGCTAGACTTGATAAAGAATAATGTGGCATCAGAACTGGAGGAAGACTTATCATCAATCTGCATTATGCAGATGACAAGTTTTGTGAAAACTGAAAAAGGCTTAAAATGTTTGCCGCAGAATATCATGGACTACAGTTTTCAATATCGATTGCAGCTCAACATCAAGAAAAAAAGGTTCCTTTCAATCTTTTTATAGGGGTTTTAGGGAGGACTAGGGAAGGTGATGTTTTACTCGGAATTTGGGGCTGTTAATTAACTTGGGTTTGGGCTTTTGTATTCAGGCCCAGAACCTTATCAGGGTCCATTTTCTAGTCTGGTCTTTGATCTCTGCTCTGGTGCCTTAGACTTTATCAGGTTTCTTCAAGGAGGGATCAGGCCTGGGGGCACTCATGACATTCTTCCTCCAAGAACCAGTCCTTTGAGAAGAACATCATGCTTTAAAGGGTGGAGGATCAGCTCAGGACAGGAAGACCCTAGAAGAGATGGGTTGACTGTGGCAATGGGAGCAAGTGTATCAGAGACAGTGAGATTGGCTCACGATAGAGCAGGGTTCAGAGCCACTGTGCATAGGGTGCTATGAGTTGTAGTCTACTTGATGGCAAATAACTAACATAAAACATTATGGCTATAATTGTATTTTACTGAGTACTATATAATAGACATGATATTAACTTTGTGTAGTGGTTAGAAAGGTTTCCTTTTCAACAGAAAACATGTTCTTCATGGTCAGTCCATGGCTCTGATAACCATTATTTTCCCCTAAATAGAAATGTGATTAAGAAGAGATATTTATTTAATGCTATTTTAATAATGAAGTGAGAGATGTCTTCTTTTTATTATCAATAAATCCACTATTTGTTCTTGAACACAAGAACAAGACCAAATGTTGCTACTGTTATGTGCTAT